CCTGCAGGTCAGTGTTCAGCACAGCTTGTTCCATTTTCCAACAAAACCCCTGGTGGGAAGGGTAAACGTGGCATGGGTGGCTTTGGCAGCACACATCAGCCACACCTTTTTTGGACAAGTTCTATCACAACAGCTCAGCTGCTTGGTATGCAGCACAGATGGCAGAAAATTTCAAGGGCTTGTCAATACCAGAGCTGATGTCTCCATCATCAAAAGCAGGGAATGGCTCAGTGATTGTCCCATGATTAACCCCACCTCGACCCTCGCTGGTGTGGAGGGAACGCAGTGCCCTAGACAGAGCACTCATCTTCAGCTTGTTCTTGGCCCTGATGGCCAAAGTGCCTGGACTGCACCATTTATTGCTGCTGTGTATATATATATATATATATATATATATATATATATATATATATATATTTTGCTGCTGTGTATTATAACGTGTACATTATGGGGAAGGGATGTTTTAGAACAATTTGGAGCTACTGTGCAGAGAGATTCAGCTCCACTGAAGGATCTTTTTCATAGGGGCCATTGATCAGCCATTCCAAACTCCATCTGGCAAACTCATGTCACTCATATTCCAGAATTTGGTCATTTGAGATATGATCACGTATCTGTTGACTCTCAGTCTCGTTTGTCGATGGCAAGTGCCGCTGGAGAGAAGGCCTGTGGTGTCCCTGGGCACTGGCTCACCTGCTTTCCCTCTTCAGGCCTTCTGGCCACCATTGAAGCACACAATGGGCCTGCCTCCTGCACTTCTGAAGAGACTTCCCAATCCTTCCAACACAGGTATTCCCCACTCTCCCACTGGGCAGGCTGTTGTTGAACGTGCCCACAGGACATTGAAAACCATGCTTGAAAAACAGAAGAAGGTGGAGTCAGAGTGCCCACATGCCAGATTAGCAGAAGCCTTCTATGTTCTCAGTTTTCTGAATAGAGATGAGGCTGGCCAAACAGCGTGTGAAAGACAATATTCTTTCAATACAAAGGCAACACCTGTTACCAGGACAATGGAAAGGACCCTGAGATCTGCTGGCAGGGGTTGTGCTCGTGTCTCCACAGGTCACAGCGTGAAACGGGTTCCTTTGTGCTCTGTGCAGCCAATTGTGCCATCCTGCTTGGCAAAGGCACTGCCCCAAGATGGACAGAGCAAATGAAAGATGCTGCCCCGACTGACACCATGTCCACACGGTTCAGGTCAAGACGTATGTTTGTGTTTTTGAAGGGTTGTTACTGGGTTACTCCCCCTCTTCCTTGCTCAGTCATATTACATCTGAAAATGTTTCAGGGTCTGCTCAGGTTTTTCTAATCTTGTAGACAACCTCTCCTTCAGGGTATGGTTTAAACATTTAATAGTATATGGCATAATTGTCTTTGGTGTGATTTTATTGATTAAACAAAGAAGGGGGAGATGTGGGAGATAAGTCCTGTTCACTTCTGTTCACTCCTGCTCACCAGAAAGCACTCTGGGAAAGGTTCAGCTCCCTTTACAGCAAGGTAGAAAATAGGTCATGTAAGCAGAGAACAAATTGTATGACTGGTGTGTGGTCATCTCCTGTGTGGGGCAGTGATGGGCTGGGGAGACATGTGGATGCTGCGGGATCAAAAGAGATGGTTGGGAAAAAGAACACATGAACAGCAACACCACAGAGGCAGGCAGCCAATGCCTGCTTGTTTTGCTTAAGTTTAGAGCATAAAAATGTTTTTTTTGCAATGAAGTGTTTCCTTCTGAGCAAGCAAGAAGGAGGTCCATGTGTCTTTGTTCCTCATTGCTACAAAGAAGGAAAAGCTGCCTTCTTGGGATGCTGTGTGTGCTGGTTTTGGGGTAATTTTCTCACTTGATGTCCCTCTCCCAAAACATGGGATTACAGCTCCTGTTTCCATCTCTCCCTCCTTCTGCACTCTCACTAATTTCTCATGTCCCTGTGTAATAACAACATCAGCAGGGAAAAGTGTCTGGAGCGTGGAACATCCTGCTGGCTCTGTCAGACAAGGTGGCAGGGAAGCAAGATTGAAGGGACTGAGTTTGTTTAAGTCTAGGAAAGAAGAAAGCAAGGGAAGAAGTGAGTCTCCAGCTACAGAAAACCTGCCTGGAAGGGCTCTTCTCTGAGCTGCTGCAGACAGGACAAGGAGTAACAAGCTTAAAGTACAGCAAAGAAAGCAGTGCTTGGGCAGCCAGGAAAAAAACAAAAACCAAGAGGGCAGCGGGTGAAACATTGAAATAAACTGCCTGGGAGGATTGTGAAATCCCCATTATTAGAGGCTTTTTAGAACAAGCCTGTCAGGACTGACAGGCAGAGTCCATCCTGCCTGCAGGCAGAGGAGGGGCTAAAAACATCTCACAGTCCCTTCCATCTTTATTTTCAGTGTTTTAGCAGAAGGCAGATTAAGCTGCTCAGCACCACCATCAGCTTCAAAACAAAAGCCATTTCCACGCAAACATATTAATATATTAAGACACGTATTTAAAAAAAAAAAAATCTATATTCTGCTCCTGGACCAATCCTGAGCTTCCCACATTCATGGGTTTTGATTAGAGAAGACAGCTGAGTTCCCACAGCAACAATGTTCAATCCTGCAGCATTTAAGATGCTACAAAATCCTTGCTGGTTGAATCCAAAAGTGCCACGGGTTCCCCATATTCAGTAGGTGTTGTGGGTTGGGTTCCAGTGTTTCAACATCCAGAATATCCATCCAAACATCCTGTGGGCTGCTCTGAATGTCCTGCTGGAGAATGGCTCAGCTGCTGGCTGTGTCACCAGAGCCACATGCCACGTCTGGTCACACCTCTGGGGCTCTCCTGGAAGCCACCACCACCCACCAGACAGTGAGGAGGTGCCTGATGGAGCTAAAGCCACTCCTCCAGTCAGTCTCTACCAACAGCTTTTCACCTCTGAAAATTTAAGGGAGATTTGTAAAGGCACCTGGAGGATTTGGGCACTCAAATCCATGCCAGCAGGGTTGGGGCTGCTAAGCAACAGAGACAGCTGAACAGATCCCTCTGAGAGCACATGAGCTTCATTAGCTAATGATGTGACTTACGTTATGAAACTGGCCTCTCTGCCAGCCTTTTGCAACAGGATTTTGGCTCCCCAGCTTATCCTTAGGAGCAAGCACCCTGGTTCTGCAAAGGAAACGAGCACTGCCATCCTTACTGCTCACCACAGGATGAGGAGGCTGCCTGGGCTGGAAACAAGCCAGTGACAGACACCCAGCTCAGTACCAAAACACCTCCACCAAACACTACCCACACACGAATCTGAAAACTTTTACCAAGAGAGCCCTGCCTTCCCTGGGGCTTTGAGCTGTGAGTGGAACTTCCCTGTGTGCCCAGCTGGCACCCGGGGCGGGTGCTCTGTGCTGAATTCCCCAGGCAGCCTGCAGAGCTCCTGCCAACCCCAAGGCTGAGCAGCCTGGGGGTGTTTAACCCCAGGGACAGTGCCACCACACCACTGCCCCTTGTGCCACGGTAAAGGCATCCCAACACTTCCAACATCTCAGGGCTACTCCCTTCCTTCTGACAGTGGCTGGTGAATTTATTGAAATGGTGACTGAAAGGCTCCCAGGCAGCAGGATGGAGGAGCAGCTCTGGCTGTTGGAGCACAGTGGTCAATGTGGCTGGAAAGGGAAGGCAGAAAGCACCCCCGCCCTGGAGCCAGCTTTGCTGGGCCACCCTGATCACTCTTTTGTCAACTATTTTTAGCTGTAACCTTATGGCACCTATTGGTGGGTGAAAGCAATCAGCAGCAGAGCCCAACATCCTGTGCTCTTTAAAAATAGCAAAGCATGGAGAAAAGATTTAGTCAAGCACATGATGTGACCGTGACAGCCTTGGCCTTCAGGGACATCTCGTGGCTGAACACACCAGACCCAAATGAAGAATTGTGCAGAGGTTCTGAGCAGGAGGGGCATTTAAGCAAGAAAAAAAACTATGAAAAATTGTAGTATCTTCTCCTTAACTTGCTCATTCCAGCCCCAACAATGTGCATTTGGTAGAATATCCTGAGTGGGGAGGGACCCACAAGCCACTCAAGCCTCCTTGGAAAGGACTTCCTTACTTACCTGGAACTGGGAGATTCTTACCGAAATCACAAATAATTAAGAGGAATGTGGAGCAGACAGGATTGGAACACCAGTCTACTTTTAGACCTCTTTTTCTTAACAGGCAGAAAAATTAATATTGTCTTTGGGCATTTCTCGCTGTTTATTTTACACCAGTACAATTCAAATGAGCACTCTAATATAAATCCTTAAACGAAGCCCTACTTAATTTAATTATTTTTTGATGCACAGGATATTGTGTTATAAAAACATGATTTAAGAATATATCCAGTATTCAAAGTACCTGCTGCATCCCAGACATTTTCTGGAAAGGTCCATCTGAAATGTTTGCTATCTCTGCTTTGTTTAGATTCAGCCTACTTGTTGCACTTCTAAAACCTACAGGCACAGAAAATACAGAAGTGCTTTTAAAAACATTTGCCTTGGGAAGACAAAGAAATCCAATCTCTGTACTGCAGCAAGCATTACTGGAAAAAGCACTGTGCTTACTCCTGAGAGGAATCAGCCCCGAGAGCTGCAATTAGATGGAGGGAAAAAAGAAAGGACTAATTGATATGCTTGCTTTCCAGACAGAAACACATTTTTAGTTCAGCCTGTCTATATTTTATGCAATGATACTCCTCCAGGGATAGGAGCAAAATTACTTATTTCAAAGAAAAAATCCCAATATATTCTTATATCCCAGAACAGCAAAAGGGAAAAGCAAGTTCTAACTATTGACCAAAATTTAGACAGAAATATATTTTTTTCCATACTAAAAATGGAATAATTTGGATTACAGTTTTTCTTACTGTTTTTAAAGCAGTGGCTGAGCAGACATGAGGGTCCTGAGCTTGAGCTCAGGATCCCTTTTGTCAGGAGTGGCCACAGTGTCAGTCCCTGACTGCCCTGCCCAAGTGATGGAGGGGGAAAAAAAACAACCACCAAGAAAACAACACTTTCCAAATTGCACCAAATGTTTATTGTTAGTCTAGTACATTCAATATCATATTGACTAGAATACAGTAATTCAAAATATTTTTGGCGAATTGAAACTTTTTAAAAACCATTTCAAACACTCCAAAAAGCAAATGCCATGAAAAATTAACTTAAAATTAAAACAAACATATTCAAGCAATAGTTTAACTTCTGACTACAGAAAAACTTTACATGTATTTTAGTGGTTTTTAGTACTGCATTTCAACAAAATATATGGACTCACAAAAAGTGGAAAATATTAAAATAGACACAATGTTAAAAAACTGAGGCATCCAGATCTGCAGGACTGTTGTAGCAGAATCACCTGCCCAGCTGTTCCCTTTGCTCTCTTTTGGGGCAGTTTGAGTTTGCCGTGGTGCTGCCACTTCACTGATCACCTGCTACCACCACACAGCAATTCTTCAATGTCTTGAATTTAAAGTTTGTCCCTCTGGTAAATTCCCTATACAAATGTAAATACTCTAAAACTTGCGGCCCTCTGGCAAATCTGAGCGGAACAGGACCTTTGAAACATCCCTATCTTGCTATTTATTGTTTGCAGACAGGCAAGATCCAGAACAAAATCTGAAAAAGGCAACACATTTTGGTTTTGTTTTTAAATACTGACATGTAAAACTGAGTAAATTAGAAAAAGGATAAAGTCAATCTTAATATAAGACATTCATTACATAGTGGGACAGGATACAATTATTGGACAAACAGGATTACAAGGACTCTTCTACACTGGTCATTTCAGCACATGTCCTACAGTCATGACTTGCTACCACAGCTGGATTTCCTGTACAGACAGACAGTGACAAAGACCAGTCAGACTCTGTGTGAAGTCCCAGGATGACAAGTGACACCCGACCAAGTTCTCCAGGCTCTGCTCCCTGTGCTTGTGAAGAGCCCTGAGCTCTGGGTGCTCAGCAATGCTCTGCCTGCTGCTCCCACCTGGGTTTCCAGGCAGAACCACCCCACCAAAAGCTGGTGGGAGCAGTCAGTTTAAGTCCCTTTGGAAACCCAGGTCTCAGTGCCACGTGTGTGTACGTGGGCTGGGGAAATGAGTGGCCCTGCCCTGGATGGGGGATATTACCACACGAGCCCCCACCCTGGGCAGCATGGGTACAGCTGGGAACTTGGAGGAGAAAATCACCTCAGCTACTCCTTTTACAGCTCTTCATCACAAATAAAGCCAACTTAAGGTCTGGTTCAGTGGTACTGTAAATGAGCAGAACGCTGCCTTGTTAGAACTCAGCAGAATCACATTTAGGTTTTAGTTTGTAAAAGTGGTTATTACAATTACAGCTGCAACACAAACTTCGGAAGAGGTACAATGTTTGCTCCTCAGAACAGGGTGTGGAATGTAACCATTTCTTGCAAGAGACTGCAACATGAATAACTGCATAGATGACAGTTGTGTGTCTTCAGTTCAATAAATGTACTTTTAAAGTTTACAAAAAACACAGAAAAGTTTCTATAAAAGTCACATTATACCAAGATAATGGGTGGTAAAAGTAGATTAGTTGTCTCTGATTCATGTTTAAGAAATGACCCATGGAAAGGTGATAGAAACCAATTTCATGTCAAGAGCATTACGTTTTCACTATTGCACTGACTTCACCATTTGAATCACTAATTTAGAAAAATTCACATAGTTAAAAATTGTAAAACTAAACTAGCATACAAAATTTGTTTGTAAACATCAGGTAGCCAGTTCTGCTAATGTGGAATGGACTCTTGGTTACTGCAGTACAGTATCTTGGTTATTTACAGCACTTGCCATGTGATGGGAAATGGCAGGACACAAACATCAGTTCACAGTAATTGTGTTCACAGAACTACCAAAGTCAGTGCAGTTTCGCTGTGCAATTTTTCCAATTCCCCCAAATTCTTTAAGTCAAATAATACTGTTACAGAGGCCAAGTGCAGATTATTTTTTTGTACAATCTCATAAGTGACGAATGATGTCTGCAGGACTTCTGTAAAGGTACTTCCAAATGGCATAGTAATGGACAGCAGCCGCTGTGGCCACGAAGATGTGCCAGATGGCGTGGGCAAAGGGGATCACTCCATCACTCTTGAAGAACACCACGCCCAGGCAATAGATCAAACCTCCCCAGGCCACCTCCTGCAGTCCCTCTGTGTTGCTCTGCCAGGGAACAAGGACAGGTCAGGGGCAGGGAGTGAAGGGGGCAAAGAGTATTTATGGACAAAATACACAGTGCTTTTCTCCCCCAGGCAAAGGGAGCTGGCTGTGACAGCTCAGAAAATGTTGGGTGGGACAGATGGACAAGTGAGAAATGCAGTGTATTTATATCACTCTTAGTATATAAACACATTATTGTGCATTTCACAATGTCCCCATAGCACTAGAGAAGTTATACTGGGACAACTCAAGAACTAAAACAAGACTGATGGTTTGCTTCATCAGCAGAGCAGACAATCACAGAGACAAAGAAAACCACATTACTCTGTGGAAGTGTGAGTTTAATGCAGCTCCTCCCAGCAAGACTTTGATACAGCCAGTTAAGGCATTAACTTGAAAATGTGTCACGTTTATATTAGCAGCAGAGATGGTTAATCAATGTTATTTAAAATGTGTAACTATAGACAAGTTTGGAGTAGGATGCTTTTCAGATGCACCAAGACCCCCAGGCTCTCTTTATCTACACAATGCAGCCCAGATTGAACAAGACAAAGCAGCATTTCACTGAAATGTGAACTGTAAATCCAAATTACAACTGGTTGTATTGGGTTGCTCTGCAAAGAGCACTTACAAGTATAGTGTACTAAAATGAACATCTCTGCAGAGGAAAGAGCTGCACTGGAATTTAAGCTGGTTATAAAAGGCAAGTTTTGTTTGTTTGCACTGTTAACAGTCACATTCCTTACCATGGATGTCACTACCAGAGCAGGAGAAAATCCCATCGCTAAATAGAAAAAGAGTTCAACGATCTTATACCTAAAAAGGAATGATTTGAGTCATTTAAGGAGGTGTACAAAAGGATGAACATTTCCTTCAACAGCAAAAATGAATATTTTAAATTATGTGTTGGTATGGGGTCATTACACAAGAAGCTTTTATGCAGATGGATAACCAGTGTTTTATGACAAAATTAAAACTAGTGTTTATCTCTGCATTGTAGAATTGCAGGTAATACGTTCTCTCTAAATACTGCACAAAAACCTTCACTTGCAGTAAGTACCAATGAGAATAAAACACTGAGACAACTTAAATTTTCTTGTTTGATGAGAACCTTGGTAGCTCATCTCCAAGACAAAAAGTTTGGTCTTGTTCTCTGATGGTAATTTTCAGTTTAAAGTTAAATGCAAAGAATAGTTCTTACTTTTCATGGTAGAGAAATACATAAAGGGTTCCTCCAGCAGCCATCAGCCAGATAAACCATCTCATGTGAGATGCCAGAGGTCCCAACTCACGGAGATTTAACCTGGAGGCATAAAGGTTCCATGAGACAGAAGTGATGAGTAAACAGACCACACTGACACAAGAGCAGTAGGGATTAATAAAAACAAATAAATATTCAGAGCTTTAACTACAGAATGCTGGGGGAACAAACACCGGGACATTGTACCCACGGAGAGGCAGAAGGTGTTTGTGTTGATGGGTGGAAAGCATAAACTGAGGTATGTGGAATATAAATAAACGACTTTCTGATGTTTTCTTGCATCACTTTCTGCTCAGCAAGGCCCAGGAGATGACATTACACAGTCTGTCACAACACATAATGTGGTCAATTGCACCCAAGAAGCCATCTATAGGTTTTGGAAAGCTGCAATGACCAACTCTTTACTTTGGGAAAACTTTGATTCTGCAGCTGTGGTCCCCATTTCTTACCATGGTGCGTAGGATGCTGCAATGAAGACATAGATCATCATTCTGTCACACATGTGAAAACAATGCTCCATTGTCCTAGGGGAGAGAGACACAACAGGTCACCATGACACATTTTGGGAAGATTTTTGCATCATCTCACTTTCCTGACACGCTTTGGAATTACTCTGGGGAAAATACCATCACCTCCATCCCTCTTAGAACCACGTGGGGAATGGAGACATGTAAGAGCTGAGCACTTCTCCAGGCCTCTCCCCTTCTCCACCCCACCTTGCATTCCTGTCACATCAACTCTGCCCAATCCAGACACTGTACTATTTAGTGACTACTGGCTATATCAAATTTATGGCCCAGAATTAATTAGGGAGTCTTACAAGGGATAAATAAAATAAATTAAAATAACAAATCCCATGTCATTTTTGCTACTGCTGCCTTGGTCCCAAGGAGGTTTCCTGCTGGTTGGATGGGCATTGGCAAAAGCTGTGTTCCTCAAAGCACTTGAGCATGCCATAGTCCCAGAGAGTGTCTTCATGTCTGAAATGGGATATTATCCATCAACCACCTACATTATGTTTTTCCCATTCTACTTCTGGATTAAGAGCCACTAGGGCCTACCAAAAACATTTTCTTTGTGACAAGGCAGCAGACATCCAAGTTCACTGGTACATGAGCTTGGCTCACTATTTCTTCCAAAAAATCAAGGGTGTTTTTATCACGATTCAGTAGAAAGTACCACTCCACTCTCCTGTAAAATTGGTTTTGACTGAGAAACACAATGGGGAAACATCAAGAGGAAGTGAGCATTTTCTCCCGCTACCTCAGGTGACTCTTTTTCCAGGAGACGATGTGGAACACGGTGGAGACGATGAAGAGGGCGCAGAGCCCCACCCCGTACATCCATGCTGTGATCTTCTCCCAGCGGTCGTCCGAGAGCCGATGGAGGAGGGCACTGCCCACGATGGCAGGAACAATCAGGAACTGCCAAAACAAAAGGCCATTGTCACGTCTCTGCTGTGGTGCCACCCACAGAGCAGCACCAGCAGGCAGAGAGCCCAGCCCCAGCCAGAGAGAGTTTTGTCATTTAGTTTTAAGTTGACACATCAATACCAGAAATTCATGGATGTCTCAGGCATAGGTTAGACCTGGTTTTGCTAAATTTCTCCCCCCATGGTACCAGGGAAGGTTACCAACTCCTCTAGCCATGACAGTAAATTCTTTTGTCTAATTTGGTAAGTATTAGCAGTGGCTTTATTTTGACATTCTGCCTCATGTTTTAAAACCATGTTGATCTCACTCTAAATTTGAATTTAAGCCACCTCTTGTGCATAGACACAGAGCACAAGACAGACCAAAATAAACTCGAATCCCAAATGAAAAAAACAAAGCATTTAGCAAAGTGCAGTTGCAAGAATTAAGCAGTTTTGCAGAACTTGGGTTTAAGCTACCATAAATAAATTAGCAGCAAACTTCTCTCATGAATAGATTTTTAATGCACAAAGATGTTCTTCTAATGCAGCATATCCAACTTTGTTTTCCTTCCCACCTTCCTCTCAAGCATTTCTAATTCACTTCTTCCAAAACAGGCCCTGTTCAAGCATCATGATAAAATTACCACACTTGCATGAAGTGTCCAAGAAGTGACTGCAGACTTTAAATGCATACATTTAAAACTACACTCCCTTCCAGAATAAAATACATGATGTACCTCTATCTCCTTCAGGAAAAGGCAAAAGAAAAGGGTGGGAAGGAGAAAATAACCCCAAAAACCCTAAGAAACACCCTATGTCCAACAAGTATTTAAAGAAGAGAGCTCACTGACTCAGATATTTCTATCCATCTCCATCCACTACCAAGTCAGCCTTCTAAGTTACAAACACTGTACAAATTCCCTTCAGGCCCTATAGCATGTCTAAGATGCTAATTTGTTCCCTTGAACTGCAAATAAGCTTCTTAGGGTTAAATTCTTGGTAATTTAACCCAAGTCTCATATGTTAAACAATAAAGCCAGGAACAAGCAATGTTTAAACAAATCTGGCTACTTTGCATTACAGGTTTGATAGGTCAGGCTGCAGAGTTCTAGTCTAGCCTGACCTATCTGTCCTTCATCTAATTACAGACCAGAGGAAACTGAGGTTCTGCTCAGTGTAGAGGATGCACAGCAAACTGCATGGATCTGAGAAGAACAAAAAACAAGTGGCTTTTCCTTCTGACTTTGATGCATATCAGCTGTAGCTTCATTACTATTCAATTTCCTTCTGTTTGACAAAATGTAGGATATTTGCGCCAAAAGCTGTAGAGCCATGGAAATGAAAAGTATGGCATTGATACATTCACAGCCTTAGGACTAGAGGTGAAAACATTTCCTGAGCTTTGTAATGGAACTATGGAAGTTGACTTGGTGCACTTTAAGGCCAGAAATAGTCTGCCAGCCTGGCTTCTCATTTATCACCAACCCTGAATTTCCTGCACACATCCTGGACAGCCCCCAAATTCAGGGAAAGTTGAAATGTGTCACTCCTCAGGAGATCAGCCACTCCTGTTTTCCACACATGACACACAGTGTGAATGAAGTGTGGCTGAAGCCCCTGGCACAGCCAGGAACTGATGAGATGTGACAGCTGTTTCACTTTAGTTTTTGCAGGGGACAGGAGGATACTTAGCCCCAAAAATGGTGTAGCCATGGCTCTAAGCTGTACAGTCCCACTGTATCCGCAGTTTCCTTCCTAATTTTTAGTGCAAATTTCAGTTTTGACTAAACTTGACAGAGAACGAAAGCTTAAGTACCTATAAATATCAGGTAAAACAGCAAATTCCTACTAATTCCTTGTAACAGCCTAGGCATGAGCTGCTATGGGACCCTGACAGAGACCACTTCACAGGAAAAGAGCCCTCTTTGGGCTTTGGATTTAGATATTACACAGAATAACCTGCCTTTCTTACACAGAGACCCCAGCTTTTTACTAATCTCCTCAAATAAATATTTCACAAGCTAAGCTGTGACATGGCATGCTCAAATGGGCCAAAACAAAGTTCAGTGTCAATCACTCCTTCCAGTAATTATTGTGCATAAAGTGATACAGTTAATACAAAGAAGCAATTTCCTTATAACCTCTTTCTTTGCACCTTCAGAATCAAGAGTACAGCACACATGAATGAAGACTTTAATTCCTTATTTGCCTTGTTCTGCTTTAAAGAACAATTCTACCTCTCACAGGGAAGAGCACTGTATTCCATGAAAAGGACTGATTGTTTTTTCTAAGTGTTCTTTTTGGAACCATTTTCCTCTCTGTGCTTGGTAGGTACCATGGGAACCGTCAGACAAAACAAGAGATGTTTTATTAGTTTTTTTTTTGGCCAAAAAATAGCTAGATTAAATACAAGACCCAGAAACTATACACTGCTGTTCCAGCCAACTCAATTAAAGTTCTTCAGATGGCAATGCCATAACAGGTAACATATGGTACAATGGGCTTTACCCATCTTACAAAAGAAATATAAAACTTCAGCTCATAAAAAAGGCAAATTTTCCCATGTTCATTTGAAAAAAATCACATGCACAAGAACTGCATTTTAATCTCCAGTTTTCAGAATGAACAAGCCATTAATCAGTCCTTTAAAAGGAGGGGAGTTTACCAAAAAAGCAGTCAGAGAGTCAGAACTAACAGAATGCGTGGGATTGTGCTGTGTCATTTTACAGCATGACAAAGCATTTCTTAGTTGCCAATATTCCTTGGAAAAATCTCCAGCTAGAAGTCACAAAATCTTTGCTTATTTCATCATGGAGTGCAAGTCTTCCAAGTGAATATCATCAAACCCAGTAACTTAATGTACTGTGAGCAAATCCAGAATTGTGATGTGCAAATTTACTAATTTTAGCACCGTGATTAATCCTGGCTGCATCAGAAGTGGGGCTGGAAGAAAGATGTGCAGAACAAGAGAGAAGGCAACAGTTTCCTGAGCCTGCTAGAGAAATACCAGAACAAAATGAGAGAATTAAGTTAAAAGCTCTTTGCAATAAGGAAGAAGATAAAGGATTAAAATATGTTAATTTACATCTACAGATGGTGATCTTTCAGAATAGTTTTCAGCCCAACCTCTGTGTGGTGTATTTTGGGAAACCAACTACCACAAACCCTGCTGTCACAACAAGTAAAAACCCTTAAGGCACGAGGAAGGAGGCTGGCACAATAAGCTGTGAAGCTGATCAGGGTCACTTCAGTGAAATCACACTCTCTGGTTACCAACTTACCCAAAATACCCAGTACCTTCCACCTGTCTGGGGCTGCTGAGGATGCTGCTGCACTGGCCAGCATTTTACTTGTATTCTTTCCATATTTATCCAGATAATCTCTGCCACAGAGAGCTTTAAAAACCTGCTGGAAGTTTTGCTTTTGTATATAACATTCCTGGAAAATGAAGTTATTTTCCTTGCACATCATGCAGGCAGCAACAATGCCCTTCGATGCACAAGCCACTGCAGCAGAGTGTGGTGTTACTGCTCCAGTCTCACGAGCCTCTCACTGGGAGGGAAACACTGAGGGCACAAAAATGGTCCAGGCACTTCCTTTTTGGAAAGGAAGGCAACAGGAACAGCAATAAAGCTGCCATCCCTGCCCCAAAAATGTGACACTTAGAGGGAACCGTGAAGGGCTGTGCCCACCTCCAGCTGCTCCACGAGTGCACTCCTGTTACCATCTCTCTCAACTTTTCAACTTTCCCCTAATTTTAGGAGACATTTTCACCAGAAGAGTCCTTCTGAAATTTTCATCACCCCTTCTTCCATGCTCAAATGGCCTTCTAAATGCTCCAAGTCTCACTTTTAAAATATTTATACTACTTCTGTTTTTCCATGCACTTCACTAACCCAACCTGGAATACAGATTAGAATTAATTTTAAGAATAGTTACTCCTATTAAGGCAGTTAGAAGAAACATTTAAAGTAGTATAAAGCAAGCCATGTCTAAATCCTGAGGTTTTAACACAACAAGGCCTACCTTTTGTCTGATAAACCTTACATACACCAGAAAACTTCATTATGAAAGAGTCCTATCTCCCCTCCAATTGTCACTACCCCTGCTTTTCTCATGCACTGTTTCCTTCCTGTTCCTTTGAACACAGAGAACAGTTTTCTCTGTCTGTTTTCAACTACTTTGCTGTCATTCCTCTCCCAGTGTCTGAAGGCAAGCCAATGCTTCATTTAAAGCTAAAAAAGGCAAGACATTTAAAATAGCCTTACAAGTAAGAAATCTGAAGATACCTTACTATGCAACACAAAACTACCTTTTAAGTATTGTACCAGGAGACTACACCTGGGATTCTATACCCTCCTTTACCCTTATTTTTTTGTTGCTTGTTAGTTTTTTCATTAAGCAGCTGCCATGAACTGATTCCTGTGTATTTTTAAGTTCAAAACCAGATGGGATACCTACTGAGAAGTACAGCCACATTCATAAAGTAGAAGTTGACTGCTTCCTGAATTATGAATAAAAGCTTGGAATACAAATATATTGGAGAATCATTGTTGAATTCTGTTCTGTAGAATCATCAATGTCGAATTGAAAACTCACACTAGCAGCAAAGACTAACATTTAGTAAGTCTAGACTAACATCTAACATTTAGTAAGTCTGCAACACAAAGGAGATAAAAACAGTAATCTAGCAGCAAAGACTCAGCCACTTGACCATCTAACATTTAGTAAGTCTGCAACACAAAGGAGATAAAAACATCCCCCTTAGCTTTTTCTGTGCTTTCCCAGCTTAGACTCCCATTTCAAGACTTTAAATATTGATGAAAAGTTATTGCATCTTTATTTTAACAGTTCATTGTAGGTTTTATCAGGTAGTTTGACTGCTCAGAAAGTAATCAGACAGCTCCACCACAAACTGCAGCCTACCAGAAAACGCTGATCCACCTTGGCTGTCACGTCCTGCTAACAGGCAGGAGTAAAACATGCCTGTTTTTCAACTAGGTGAAAGCTGAAACTGCTAAGGAGCACAGCAACATCTGCCAGATATTTTGAAATCTAACTTTTTGGCCAGAGCAAACAAGATTTGCACAAGGATTATGAGATAAACTACATATTTGTGCTAACTAACAGAATGTTGCTTCATTCCCTAGGCAAATAAGCATATATTTACAGAATGCTGTACATGAGACCTTTGGCTTAAGAACACAGAAGCTTCAGTCAACTTTATGTCTGCATGCAAAACCAAGGTGATTCTGTTTTTACCAGCACCACGGAGCTCTATGCCGGCTGCTTACGAAATACGCACAAGGGATCCTTAAGAACAGAGCTCCTTCAAGAACTGGGGAGTCCTGGGCACTGCTCTGAGCTTTCATATCTGCTGCTCACTCAGACACACTGGAGATAAGAGACTGAGGACAAAGTCAAACATACTTCAGATGTTTGGAGTTGAGGGATTGAGGAGACACACAAGCTGCTTTTATAAAAGGGCAAATGCTATCTTAAAAAGCAAGCAAACACATTTTTAAGTCCTCTTCAAAGTGCCAGACAGCAAATTAAACTTCCTAATTACTAAAAGAAAAAAAAAAATCAAAGGGGATTGCTTCTGTTCTTTTTTATGTGAATACCATATACGCAAATCTAGAATAATTCCTTACATTAGGAAAAGAAGGAAAGACTTGACATTTCAGCAGGGCTATCAGCATTATCAGGGCCTCTTGCAAAACAGCAGATTTCTTGAAGAGTCAGTAGGTATCAGAATTAAAACATTCCAGCTCTTGTTGCCCAAACCCACAGACAGTCTGATGAGGCCATCCCATTTCTCACATGGATAAATCTTTCTTATACTTCCAGTTTACAATTTGCACAATATTATGTCAGGGCAGACCTGGGAAATTCACCTTGCAGGCTAACTAGTAGTGGCCTATACCCCCTCTACTGCAGGCATCCTTTGACTGCAACAGAGGGAAAATATCAAGTTAAAGATCTGTAACATTGGTGAAAAGGAATCTTATGAAGTGTCTGGAGCTCCAAGAGATTCGGAACATTACCAAACATCTGACTTTTCTGGACTGTTACAGTTAATGCTCATATGCACAAAAACAGAGAGAGGCTACAGCCATGAACACAGTGAGGCAAAGATAAGCATTTAGCAATCCAAACACATAAAAAATTATTGAAACATCTGGTTAAAGAAAAAAACAGAAAAAGAAGCCAGAAGTGTACTTACTGCGTGTGTGTAACAGTTAGCAGCATGTTCATAGCAAGTGGGTTTGTAGCGGCTGTTGGCTGGAGCTGGGTGGTTCATGAACCTGTTGAATAATTAAGAAGTACTTTCAGGAAAGTTGCTAAAACACCTCTCTGAGTGTCATGAAGGAAATGAAGGAATACTTCCAACCTGGTAGTGTTAAGAATTATAAGTACAGATATGTTCAAAGTAACTGTGATTTAAATTGCAAGCTCTCCCAAGTAAAGTCTCTTACCGGACACACATGTTAAATAAATTCCTGTGACTGCCTGGTGCAAGGGATGGTTATCTTTAATCAGGAGTTCACACAGAGCAGTCAGACTCCCTCTTTTCTGACAGTTTGGTCAGAGGAAGAATGAAACACTTCCTATTTAAATTACATGGCAAGAACTCAAATTATTCTTGAAATATGGAGCTCATCATAGCTGTCAGGGGTTACTCTTCTCTTAAGAAGTTCTTGAAACTGCAGCAATATTCCAGTTTGGAGCACTTGAACACTGATTTTTTGACTCCTATAGCAAGCAGTATTTGTGTCTGGAGCATGAAGTGGCTCATTTTTCCCAATCCCATGTCTGTAACCAAGATCTCCTACAAGATCATCCTACATGGGGATGATGAAAGGAGTCTCTAATGGTCAGCTCTGAAGAGGAAACATTTCAAGAGGTTTGCCATTGACATTCCACCTTTTTCTCTAAGAATTTTCAAACATTCTAACAAACAAAAAAGCACATCAAACGCAGTCCGTGCAAGCTGAACAGAATATGATGAAACCTGAGAAAGTTTCAGAAGAACTTAACAATGCAAGCGTTTCATTTAAGGGTATTAAAAAACCCAAACACTTGAGCTGTTTCCTGTGAAACTCAACAATTTAAATCTGTGTAGGAACACCTGTAAAAGACAGCACACACCTATATGCAACAGTCTAATGAAAGCTGTGAACTTCTCCAGCTCCAGTCTGTTATCCCAGCACTGCTGACTGTCCTACAAAAGTGATTATCTTTCACCAATAATTCCACTTTACTCCAGGTTATTCTAAAACTACGCACTGACAATTAGATATCCAAGCAGCCAGGAACAGCTTCACAAGAAATACAGAACTTGTTTGTATGCTCAGAACCAACAGCAACTTTGTTACCCAGATTTATACAAAAAGCTTGTTAGACAAACTTTGGTCATTCCCCATGTTCCCCTGGCTTAAATCAAAATGAGTCCTATTTTTATGACATCTATAAAATGTTGGCCAACCTCAACCCAGGGGAAAGCAAACAAACAACTAAAAAAAAAATCCAATGCAAATCTTACAGATGGCACAAGCAGTTCCAGATTTCTGGGATATTTCACTTGGTTTTCTTGACTGATTTATTAAGTGACTTGTGAACCATTTTCTTCTAAACTGATACATGAAAACATAGCAGCACTGGGAAAATAACAGTGTCATGATCCCTCCCCAAATGGTGGCAATTTCAAGAAACAATTTCATTGGTATTAGTACAAAGGCTAAGAAAAATGTGGATTTAATTCACAGACACAGAACATAAATGGTTGTTAGCACATTAATAACCCTGCAGGAGATAATATATGGTTAAAAATGGCAATTCTTTTGTCAGTGACAAATGGCACCTTGCTCTCCTCTCCAGGAAGACAATGACACTGTCATCACAAAGGCTCACAGAATATTTGGAAAATTACTTTATTCCCAGTGCTTCTATGTCTTCAACAGCTGCAGAACACCATCTCTGCATCCTCTAAAGATGGAACATTCAGTTTGCTCAGTTCTGCTTCCAAGTCAGGAAAAAGTTTAAAAATAAAAGCATCTGTTGGCTCAGTGAGTGGCCAGGCTTGGGCTGCCCTTGTCCAACTCCATAAATTCAAAGTCATGGGAAACTTTTCACTTATCACATCTAGAATATTATTACATTTCTCTGTGGTGGTACCTTGGAAGTCTCAAAAGAAGTAAAAAAAAAACCCAAACAAACAAACTCAAACTCAAACCTGAAGAACCAAAAGGAATAATCCTATATTCTGTAGTAACTTTATAATTCTTGTTGTTCCAAATTCCTATGTAAGATAATATTATCATTCAAAAATCTATAAATAATTGATGCCTCCTAATGGGATCTTCTATTATCCAACATTAGCCTACTTTTATTTTTTTTTCTTTTTTTTCAGTAGGAAATACACTGCATCTTCCTGAAGCCATCACATTGGATCTAGGGGTAACATTAGATTTTAGAATTATGAACAAATACTTCAGAAATTAGGACCTCTTATTATCACTAATTTAAAAACATTCATTAGCCATAGAACAGAACACAAAGCCATTAACAAATCTATCCTTGCTCTGTTACCTACACACAGATCTTAGGTTTTTTTCCCTGTTTTGTTTGTGGCAGAACAGGACTGATGCAAATATTCTGCACCAGAGCTCCAGCAGAACTCCAGCATTAAGCAACACCTCAGCCACCCCCTTCACCTCAGTGTTTACACAATAACACCAACACCACCAGCGTGTTTTGGCAGGAGGGGAAGTGTTCAGTTTTACCTCTGCCTTGCAGAAAAGGGTCTCACAATGCCCCAGCACCAACTTTGCTGCACATTTGATGGACCTGCATCTCTCCAACAGGCTGCAGACCCTGATGCCAAATGCTGGAAAGCATTTGCTCAGGTCACTGCTCACAGGCAACAGTCTTAATAAAGCAAACTTTCAGTTACTCCTCTCTGCCTTTTGATAATTAACAATTTATAAACACTATCAGGAACAACTTCAGAGGGAGGATCGTTAACGAGGTGGCTGGAAGGGCAATAATGGCAGCCAGTGCTTATCACGAGTTCGTTTCATTTCCAGCGTGACAGTTTAGGCTTAATGTCATAAGAAAGAGATGTGAATTTTGAAAATAGCTGCTCTGTGATATTACCGATGCGCTCATTAAAACCAGGAAAATTATTTTGACACACACTGTTGAAGTCAGTCATATACTCCTGCAGTTACAGACACATATGATATTGCAACACAAATGCAGAAGAATGTGGTTGCTTATTCACATTCTAGAGGCAAAACAGCTCTGCTCTTTCTTAAAGATAAATAAATAAGCAAACAAACCCCATGCCACCACCAACAATGGATGCTTGTTTCCTGCCTCGTGAGTACAGCAACACAGGGACATTGTTCTTCCTCCTATCTACAGGTCACATTTGCCTCTTCTGGAAAAGATAACTGTGGGAATTATAATCTCACCTTCCTAAAAGTGGAAGCTCAGTAAAGAACATTCATATGCTGTTTACTCCTAAACAAAGGCTCTCTATAACACAGCCATTAAGGTTATTATCAAATGCAGGACAGTCTGATAAAGTCCCACTGAACTGGACTACAGTTTACAGGAAATGTCTTTAATTGAAGCCTTTTAGATCCTCTAGCAAATCCCTGATGTATTCCTTAATAGCAGATCTGGTGAAACCAGAATCATTTAATCAGAGGATATGCACCACATCTCACAAGGATGCACAAATACTTCTCCATTTAAGATACTGACAATAAAAGATATCTAAGATAAAATAGCAGAATAGGAAATTTCTGAAATTAAGAGACTGAGAACAGCTTGCAGCCAGCCAGGAGAGCAGAATGCTTTTGCACTGAACTAAGCTGTGAGTTCCTTTTCACAATTTAAATTCTCCATGCTCAGAATCTGCTCAAGGCCAAGGAACTTGAAGACTCAGAATTTCACAGCAAATAAACAACTTTTCATGAACATACTCCCAATATAAGCAGAAAAAAGGTACTGAGAGAGAAATACGGCAATTTAAAACAAGAGGGGAGAAACTCATACCCCTCCTTTCACACTACTTGATCTTTGATCTTGAAATACTTTAAATATTTTAAATTCTAAACACACAGACTGATCCATCCTTTGTGACAGACCCTAATCTCAAGCTCCTATCCATTTCCAAGGAACAGATGCTGTATGTTTCCCAGAGATTCCAGAATTAAGAGAAGACAGTATTTGGGAGACAAAGCAGAAGGGAAGTCCGAGGGCTCTTAATGCTTTGTCTTTGCAAGCAAAGCCAGCTTAGAAAAATAAATTACAAAACCCTAAATCCATTGCACATATCTGTACGGCATTTGTCTGGCATCACAACAAGCTTAGACCCCAGACTGCAGAAGGGAAATCAAATCTTGCCTTATTGATGATTCCCATCTGCTGAATGAATTATTGTTTTTAGCGTGAAGCAGAATGTCAGTAAAAACAGCAAGCACTGATAATGGCCTCAAAGATCTGGATTTTTTAGTCTTTTCAGGAAGTATATTTCCTTTATTCAGCTCAAAAGACCTCATACTTCCTTTTACCAGTTTAAGAGCACATTCCTTCTTTTCGTGCCTTTCTTTCTTTGTGCTTTCCAGCAGCAGGAGAAGCCATTTACACCTAATAAACCACAAATAACAGCATATGAGAAACTGCAACAACGTGGGCGCAACTCGACAAAACCAGCAGTAGTATCAAATGGGGTTAAAAATTGCTTCATTACCTAAAAACATGCTTCAGTATCTAGGATGTTATCTAAGCTCTTTGTTTTCAAGAGGAAAACAAAAAAATATAAGCAGGTCAAAACAGATTTGATGACCATTCAGATTAGATGTTGAAGAGAAAGGAAAGAATTTATTAAAAGCTTCCTTGGACCAAATTTGGCTTTGATCAAATTCATTCAGTTAAAAGCAGATCCATCTTCCTCCACAGTAGGCACCTTCCTTCCTGGATTTGACAGTAGCAGTCGTTTGTAACTGTTCACATAATCTTTACTATCGCTCAACATCTGAGGCACAGAAATAATTCAGATCAGTGCAGAAGCAGTTCCCTTATTTGGAAATATCAGTGAAATCCCACGCTGTGTGAAGGTTCATGTACTTACAGCACGATACTAAAGATAAAAGGAAACCTGCAATACTCTGAGAATCCACAAACAACTCTGCTATCATACAAAGACTGTGTCATGGGAAAAAGTGCCTGTGCATCCCACTGACCTCCCCAAAGCCTCCCCAGCCTTCTGGCAAGTATGAAAGGCAGCGACTCAAGCGAAGAGCGGGCAGCAATCACAAGTCACCCCAGGTGCTGCAGCACATCTCAGCTCAGGGGCAAGGGACCAGCCAGCCGAGGTGTGGGCTAGCACAGAAACCACGTCCGACCGCATTCGTATTTTTCTCTTTGAGTTTTATTTCCCTTTTAATACTTAGGTTTCAGTTTCTTGCGCAAGTTGGTGAAAAGAGAGCAAGGCAGCCCTATGGCAGGTACCTGGTCAGGGAAGCCACTGTGAAACTGGCCTCACCCAGGAGATGGGCTGTCCATCAACTGCTACTGGCCTGGCATCTGGACAATGAAGAACCAAAGCCCACAGATGTTTATCCACGAACCACGATTGCAGCTACCCAATCAACCTCCCCGTGAACATGAGCAGCATCTAAAGCTGAGTGAGGGTTGATTTTTAACCTGAAAAAACACAGATTTAGGTTGGATACTAGGAGTAATTCTTCCCTGTGAGGGTGCTTGAGGCCCTGTCACAGAGAAGCCACGGCTGTCCCATCCCTGGAAGCATCCAAGGCCAAGTTGGACAGGGCTTGGAGGAACCTGGTCTAGTGCAAGGTACCCCTGTCCATGGCAGACGGGCAGAACGAGATGAGCTTTAAGGCGCTTCCAAGCCGGAGCATTCTGTGATTCCATGGTACTGAACGCGCCCTCGGAGGCAGCAGCAGAAGCAGCTCCATGGCCCCGCGGAGCCACACGGAGCCGGCGGGCGCTGCCCCAGCCCGGCCCAGGAGCCACAGGTCGGGCCCCGCGGGAGCACCGCGACGCGCGGCGGTGACACAGGGCCGGATGCGCGAACCTTCACCCATTTAACGGCGGCGATGAACAAACAAGCAGACAAACAAAAGACCCTCCTCACCCCCGCCCGCCCACTCGCGCCCCTCGGGACCTCGCTGCCCTCCCCGCCCGGCATCGGCGAGAAAATCTCGGCTCCCCCACCCACCCCTCACCCCGCCCGGGGGTCCCATCCCGCGGGGCGAGGCTCGGGCAGGAAGGATGATCCCATCCCCGCCGGTGGTCGCGGCGAGCTCACCTCCGGAACCGCTCCCGGAGCCGCCGCATGGGTCCGGGGCGGGAGGTCGGGCCAGGGGGCTGCGGGCGGCTCCGGGGGGGGCTCGGGCCGGGCTCCGGGCCCGCATTGGCGAGCGCGCTGCCGCGGCGGCGAGGTGGGACCGGGGAGCGGGGCCCGGGGCCCGGGGCCCGGGGCTGGGGGGAGCGCTCGGGTGAGAGCGGAAGCCGCGGCCCGGCTCCCGAGGGTTCCGGCAAGCCGTGGGTGGCAGAGGCCGTGGCGGTGCCGGGGCTGGCGGTGCCGGGGCTCGGCTGCAGCTCGTCCCGCGGCCCCGCAGGGGATGGAGCAGCACCGGGGGGCTGTTGGGGACAGCGGTTTAATCGCCATTGTCTCAGCTCGTTCATCAGAGAGGAGGGCTTGGCGGTGGTAACACGCTTCCTCTTCCCAGTCTGGGAGCTGTAGGAGCCTTTCTGCGAGCAGTTCGGCACAGACTGACCCGGGTGACTTCGCCCACCCGCCCATGGGATCCGTCCCGGCGTGGCACAGGAGAGCACAGCAAAACGCCGTGGCTTTGCTGTCACATAAACCTGCACATGGGATCATTCACTCCGCTCCAAATCGAGATTACAGTGGCCAGACTGCTTGGCGGAGATAAACTGCCTGGCGGGGTTCCCCAACTCTATGCTCTACTCTTACCTATTCAAACCTAACTTTGCCAAGCAAGGCTTTTTTGCCAGTAAGTGAAGGGGCCATGTTAAGCATGTTTCTGTAAGGTGAATTTGGTGTTGCCTTGTACACTACAAATCAGGTAATGAATTAGGAGAATATTAATATTGTTATTATTAGAATTCTATTTACTCTATTCTTCTAATCTAACATCTTGTTTGCAGTGGGATTTTGAACAGTTCCAGCCCTCAACAAAAGCGATTAGTAGAGGCACACCAAGGCAAACCACGGGTTTAAACCATATTCAGTGTCAACATCTTTCATGGTAGGACTGATGCAGACAGGATCTGCTGGCAGCTGTGCCATGGTTTCTAAGTCATCTCCTAAGCTAAATGTGTCACCTCTGCCAGGTAACCACCTCCAGCACAGTGAAGTGTGAGTGGCACGGCTTGGCTGCATGTCAGGCTCAATCTGACTGTTCATGGTCCCCTTTCCCAACTGTTCCCTGGTGCCAGCAGTGAGCAAAGGATTAGGTGGTAACAGTTTTGTAAACTGCTGTGGCAAGACTTGCCCCTCAGTCTCTGTAGTTCTAGTAAAGAATAAGCTCTTCTGATACAAATTGCAGATTATGTTCTCCAACAGGGGCTTGGTTGCTGCTAGGACAGGCGAGGCTGGGCCAGAAGACTTCTGCAGACAGCTGCTCAGTTTTTCTGAAAAAGGAGGGCAGAGCTTGATGCTGGGAAGGAGAACTCCTGAAATGCAGAGCCAAGCTAGTTCCCTGAGAAATACTCCCATTAATCTCAGCGAGGTATCACTGTTCATATGTTGGTATAATCTGTCATCCGATTTTGCAGTGTCCCTGGTAATTAAGTTTCATATTGCCTATGTTATCTGTTAATCCAAAAGGAGCAAAGTTTGAGGATGCTGCTGAAGAGCCCAGACCTGCACACAGCTGCATTTCAACAGCTGAAGTGTTAGCAGTATACCAATATCCTGACTTTATATTGAGATAGGGCTTGTGGTGATGCAGCTGCCTTCCTGCTCAGTACCACACACCCATCCTTGCATTCCTCTGCAACTCCCCAGTAATTTGCACTTTCAGGTTGCAGAAATGTTCTGGACCGTGTGATGTGTACACCATGACTGGAAGGCTGGCTGCTTTGTGGTTCTGGCAAAAAACTGGTCTGACTCCTGTAAAATGAGTGCACTGACACCTTCAAAGGTGCACACTGAAGTGTTGCATCTTGTCTCCATCTCCTCTCATTCCCTCTGCTCCTCTTTGACTTCTCCCAAGCCACTGTCATTTTCATTTCCTTCCCTGCTGCCTTGTACATTTGATCTAGGTTCTACTCACAAATATGTCAGTTTTTCTCCTCACAATTTTGAAAGCCTGTTTTTCCACTTTTGTTCTGTGGATACAGATCTCAAACCAGTGTAACTTCCTGTTGCTGGAGCATCAAAGATATACAAATTCAAGATACAGTAAAAAAATAAAACAAACAACTGTTCAGACTTGTTTACTTCGAATGAAAATAAGAACATTCATATCATGAAGCTTGACTGAGTGGAACCAGGTTAAGAATGCCCCAGCCATCATGACAGTGCTGATGAAACTGGAAGGTTTTTTTACTGGAAGTCAGTGTCTATTAAGGAGAGCGCTAAATTACTCAGCACAGGTATTGTTAGAGCAGTCCTCACCAATAACATATTTTAGTACCAGTGACTCTTGTTGAACTCATCTCTGTAATTGTTTTTGATGATAGAATGACTCAGAGTGCCCTAAAAACATCGTAATAAAAGAAACCCCTTATTATGGACCAAGGAACCATTAAGTCTAAATCCTAAAAATTGGCATTCAGCATACAAGATGAAGGAAGCAAAAACCTTGTTAGTTTGGTTACTTTTATTTATAAAGTAAGAAAAAACAGAACCTTCAAATACCTTAAGTAGTTTTGATTAAAAACATTCTTAAGACTAGAAATATGTCATTGTGCACTCAGCCAGAAATGCATTTTAATAAATGAGTCAGGGTTAGAAGAAGGATGAGAGAACTTTTCTTACTGAATGCACCCCTGTTGTGGGGCCCAGTCATGTAGTGTGCTTGGAAGGAGCAACATACTAAGCATGGACAGCGAAGGGCTGATTAATAAGACATTTAACCTATTATTTTTTCATGAGACAAAGAGACTTTAGTTCTGTAAGGTATTTGTAAAATGGGTTTCCAAAATGAACCAGGCAATCCCAGTCTGATACCCAGCAGACACCCATTTGGTACCTCATAGGTGTTTGCATAGCAAATCTGTTACTAATTACAATTCTTGACACTCAGGAGTACATGAGCTGTGTGGTTTGCCCTTATTATTTTTAGGTCAGTTTGTACCCATGTACAATCTCCTGCCTGCCCTTCACAAGCACTCTCTACTTGTCTAGAGGGGGAGGAGTTTAAACTCCTGGGCTATTGATGAACTGTCACATAAAGACATACTGAATTCTGAGACATTGAATATCTGTACAGGATTATGCAAAGAGGGACACAGAAGTAGGGTCTGTAGTTTTCTCTGCATTGCAAAATTGTCCCGGGTTGTACAAATCCATCAAATAAATAGGCAGGCTCTGAAAGCTTCCTTTTCCCCACCCAAGATGAAAAATGTAATTGCCACTGGGATGCCAGAGGTGAATGAGATTCTGTCAGGAGGTTATATTGATAAAAGTAAACATCCTGCACAAAAGCTGAGTTTCTTTTGGCTGCTTTGCACGGATGAGTTCTTATTACAAGCCTGCACAATAACCAGTCCCCTGATTTGTTAAACAGATAACAGAGAAGCAGTTCCTCAGTTGCCAAAATGGATGTATTAGTGACAAGACACAGCGAATGCTCCCAGCTACTCACTTTTTGGAGCTGGCAGTGGTGATGGGCTGGCTTCAGAGGCAGGAGAGCAGGACACCATGGCTCAGGGAGCCAATTAAATGCAGTGGGGAGAGAGCAGAGCAGCACAGCCTTGGTGAGGCACAGGAAATGGGTTTGGCAGGTGAAACTCCACTCCCAGTATACACTGGACAGTAAATCAAGCATTTGGGGTAAATAAGGGGGAGAAAAGTACCCTTCTGCTTTCTTTTGACTTTATAACAAACAGAATATGAGGATTTAGCCTTCCTGTCTTAGGGGTGTGCATGATAATGGAGGAAGGTGGTGGTTTCATTAAGGTTTGATTTAGAAGTTTTACCACTAAAGCTCTTTCCTTTTCTTGGATTTAGAGAACACAGGGTTTGGGCTTTGTTAGCGTGTTCAAGGACATGTGGCAGCACAACTACCCTGTGAAAAGTTTATGCTTTGTGTCCTGCAGACAGCATGGATATAGCTTTTTTTTCCTTGCTGCAAACTGACCCAGATTTCTGCTTTATTTACAGTCTTTTTGAGCATAGTGTGAAGGAGAGGCATCGCTTTTGGAAATGCATGTCAATGGTCTTGTGAAATGAGCATCTCTCCCTCCCTCAGCCTTCCCCCAATCTAATTAATAAGGTCATCCCACTGAAGGCAGGCTTATAAATAGCTTTCCAAGCACTAATGGAATTAGTTCTGGCCTGGACAACTTTTCCAGGGTGACACAGGTATCGAAGAAGGGCTTGCTCCTTGGCATAGACAGCCACTTACAGCAGGAAATGTTGAAATGTAAACATTTACCTGATGTCCCAGCTCTTGCTGCCAGCACTAAACCTGAAATGGGATTACAGCATTGCTACTCACATCGTAGAAGGACTTGCAAGTGAAACAAGGCATTTCAGAGGGATGGGCCTTGTGTTAGATTACATTAGTCTGGATAATGAAATGTCAAATTCTGATGAAGGTTTCTCTTCT